AGAGAGAGAGAGAGAGAGAGAGAGAGAGAGAGAGAGAGAGAGAGAGAGAGAGTTTAGCCGGCAGAGCTAGACTGAATCAGAGTGACAGAAAGAAAGAAAATTCAGTGGCGGGAATTACATGTACCGTAAATGAAAACGTACGAACCCTTTTAAAATGATTACAATTTTACTATAATATTATTGCTTAATCGAGCATCTAAATGTAGAACTGTACCTTCAATCAGCAGGGCGTCCACTCCCACAAAACAGGTGTTTATCTCATTTTAAAAAACAACAAAGAATATGTGACAAATACACAAAAATGTGTCTGATCAATAGTACGTTATCTGTATGATGAACATTACAGGGTATCCGAGCTGAAGGTCTATTCTACAACAATCCTCACCTCGCCAAGGCTCAGGCCTAGATATGTCCGAGCGCACCAAAGAAAGCGTCGTAGTCAAGAAATGAAAAAAAATAATATTATATCCCACACAGGAATTTCAGAACACTCCGGGCATGCCAAGCCTACGCATACTATGCGACAACACAGCACAGTCGGTCGGGTGTGTGTTTTTTCTGATCGGGCGGAACGGGGTCAGATACGAAGCTACGGCCAAAATATTTATGAGCCATTTCCCTAACGGTGGCGCCCAGGCCAGGCAAGGCACCGCGGAGTGATATTGCGCTTGCATTTTCGATAATCGATACCTTGATACTTTGGGTTGTTGGTGATGGTTTTGATAACTGGAACTGTAATCTATAATGTTAGATCAAAATCTTTCTTATAGTTCCTTTTGTCTTTTTTAAAAGAGGCAGACTGGAAAATGAAATATAAAACCCCTTAGTCCCGAAGACTATTGTCAATGCTCTTTTCATAGCAAGGATTTTGCTGAATAGATAATTCAAAAATGCTGAAAATTATGAGTTAAACGAAAAAAGAATTAAGCTTATGCAACTCGACCTTCCATTCCCCTGCTCCCACCCCGATTTTCTTTTTCTTTTCAGGACATTTCGACACCACACAATAACACACAGCCAGGATTCCTTGTTTTGCTCCTATGTTACCATGACTTTAACAACTCTTTCTCCCCAACAATATTTTGCCTCGTTTCAATTAATAAGACCTGAATTAAACAGTAACAAAAGGAAACAAAGAAAAAATGTCTGTATGAGAAAACAGACTGTCAACATCCCCTTTCTCACCCTTTCTTATAAATTCCACATAGGCTACGTGCATTCTTGTCATTTAAGTTTATAGCCCTATAGAAACTGCATTTCTTGACCACATTGTATAGATTAGTGGTGCTTCTTTTTAAACAGGGCGCATGGACTATTGTTTTGTTTTGGTTTGTTTGACAAATATTTCCGCTTTTCAGACTTTTCAGGGTGAGGGTTTTGGCGGGTGCTCTGATTTGGTTTACTCCTTCTGTCTTATAAAAAATATATCGTCCTAAACTTTCCTCCTTTTTGGTGTATGTTAAACCCTTTTGTAACACCTATCTAATCATCAGCCCATATCTGTATGTAGTAGAGGTTTAACGGCGCTCGCAACTGCATAAGGTTATATGAGCGCCAAGGGGTGGATGTCAACAGAGAAGTCCAAACGGGGACTCAGACTTACTCTGCTCACCTCTCTAGC